AAAAAACATTTCCCCTATATATATTAAATGTATTAATAATTTTATTTTAGGTATTTTAAATACTTTTATTATACTATAAATCCAAAAAAATAAATTTACGTACATAGTACGGGTCTAATACTAGTTAATATATAAGCCAAAGGTTTTCTTATTCTTTTTGCCAATGACCCTTGTTGGTTTATTAATGTTTTCATTTAAGTTAAAACTAGATCATGACCCGCACATACGTGCGGGGTTTCATATTTTAATAAAAATTCTAAAAATTTTTAATTCAATATAGATTATTTTGTTGTTTTTATGATATATTAGATCTGGATCCACACGTACATACGGTTGAGAAGGAAAAAAATAAAACACAAAATATTTCAAAATTAATATGTACAATTTGTTGTTTAGATATTTCCGAAACTTGCTCTAAACAAAGACCATAATGATAATTACTTTAAATTTATTATTATTTGAGTTTATTTCATAGTAAATATAAATATTTGTTAATATCTAATATCGTCTTTTAGAAATGTGAAATAAAATTTCGTTTTATAGTTCAAAATTTGTGAAAATATTATAACAAAACTGAATCTTAAAATATTTTTATTTAATTTTTTTACGAAATTTCAAATTCAATCTTAAAATCCTCCATTGATAAAAAATTTTAAACGATAGTGTTTTTAATTTTGAATTAAAATAATATTATTTTTATTTTTGATATAGAATAGTCTATTAGGATTAGTTTAGGTAAAATCTTAGTTGGATATAAAATCTTAGTTTTTCAATTCTCATTGGTTAACAATTTTTTAGAAAATTATTTTAAATTTTCGTCCATAATTAATAAGTGAGAGAAAGTGAGTTTAATTTTTGGAAACTAATAATTACTTAAAAAGAATTTTACTATATTTTATTTAAATATATTAATTTTGTAATTACTATTATACCATTAATGAATTTATTTAAAAACACTAAAAACTAATGGCATTTTATGTAATATTTTACCCTTCATAAGGTTATTTTATATCTAGTGATTCCCAATTAATAATATAGATGTCCATAAAAATATACAACAATAACTCCACATTAGGCCCAATAATTAGCCACATATTCACCTTCTGCATACAAAACTTTTTTTGGAAACAAAAATCTTCTTGACACTTCCGCAAAGAACGAAAAAATTTCTCAGTCAAATCGAAAATTTCGATTTGATTTTTGGTACTTTGCATCGAATCAAAGATATTCGATCTGGATTTTCATATATCAGTTGTTTGGTCAAATCGAAGAAGCTCGATCTCGATTTTTTTCTTCTCAACTTACATGTTGTGTTTTTATCGTTTTGAGTCTTTGTTTCTTTCCTAGATCATATCTTTTATAGAATCAAAGTGTTTTATTAGAGTTTTTTAGTCTTTTATCGATTCTTTACAGGTTTTAGGTTGCTTCGGAGAAAAACAAGCTGTTTTGGGATATAAACACATATTTGGAGATGTAGTTTTGTTTAGAAATGTCAGACATTTGGCCTCAGATGAAAGACTTCTCACTGTTACATCTTTCTGAATTTTTGATAAATGTTTGAAGCAGATGTTAGGTTGATTTTCCAAGTGATTTAAAGGATATCTTACGGTGCATTTAAGAGTTATACCTGAATTAGTGAAGACAGGTCATTCTGGCCAGCATTTAAAGCAGTTGCAGAGCTGGACACCAGAAGCTCCAGATCGATCAACCCATGTGTGGATTGATCGATCCACACCCTTTGGCGGACGAGAATCAGTTTCCAGTGATGCGGGATCGATCGGTCCATCCACGGGATTGTTCGATCCAACCCCAAACGTCATGTTTGGTTTTCTTTAACTAGCTTTATTTCCTATTTTCTGTAATTGGCTATAAAAACCCTAGAGCCTTATTTTCTCATGGAAGCTTCTTTTTCTGCAACTTTTTGAGACTTTTGTTTTGTAAGCTACTATTGTGATTGGAGATTCATCCTCTTTGACACTTGGAGAAGATTTATAAAAGATAAAAACTCTAAAAATACATTTTTACTCTATAAAAGATATGATATAGAAAAGAAAACAAAGACTCAAAACCGATAAAAACACAACATATCATTTTGCATAAGTCAGATTATCAACTTCACCAGCACTCGCAAAGGGCTAAACAAAGTCCTTAGCTTTTGAATTATACTAAAAAAAGCGTAACAATAATGTGGTTTGGGTAGCTTAGGACATTCTTCTTCTTGTAGGATAACAATGTCGGTATCTAGAGAGACCCATTTGTCGACATAGATATCCATGAAAACCAAAAACATTTCCAAAGAAAAGCAGAAAATATTCAAAGTTCTCGTTTTGGAACCCAGCAAATTAGTGAAGGGACCAAGTTTTGTAAGTATTCTTAGATAAAAAGAGGTATGGTAAGAGAATCGAAAAAAAAAATTATCTTAACACATAAAATAAAATATAAAGCAAAGAATAAAAGATAAATAAACCAACAGAAGATTATCTTAACTCTATCTTTCTACTTAGTAGACTTTCATTGAGCCGGATTTGTGAAAATTCGACACCAATAATTTGCCCATAATGAATAAGAAGATAAAACTCATATAAGGTGAAGAAAAGTCTCATAAAACCCAAAGAATCACAAAAAGTATTATAAGTCCAAATAAATCAAGTTTGATGCATTGAAGTGAAAATCTATATATATAATGGGAGAGTTGTCTCTTCATCTAAGGTGTCCACATCATCATCCAAGTCATCCTATTTTAATTTTGTGTGGCCTCCACATACTTTATTTACTAAACAAATATTAAAACTAAAATTAATTCACACACTAAATAAAAACAATAATTGACAAAAAATTAAATGAAATATTATGAGAAAACAGAAAAAATAAAAATAAAAATAAAACTATAAAAATTTTGAATCGAGATTGGATAAATATAAATTAGATAATTATATAATTATATTTCAACATATGAGTGAATATTTTAAAATAGTTAGATATAGGAAAAAAATAAACTTATCTATATTTTAATGGTACAATAATTATTTTTAAGAGTTACAATTATTTAGTAGATTAAAGAAAATAAGAGTTAAAAAATACCAAATTTAAAAGTTTTTACTTAAAATAAAAAGCAATTCATTTCTGAATATAGACATTCGAAATGTGAGTACCAATTAAAAAATAAGAAGGATTTAGGACATATTATTATTTATAATTATAAGATGATATAAATAGTTATTTTTCTATATTAGTAATTTTTTCTAAATTAAAAAGTGGTGCTTTGTTTTTTGTAAAAATTAATACCTAAATATGAAATATTAATCAGTGTTTAGGAAATTAACATAGATTTAAAAAAACTAAAGTGATTTGAAATAAAACAAAAAAAACTATCCTAGACATCACAAATACAAATAAAATAATCTTATAGAATTATAAAACTGTGTAATAATAATATATGAGAATGCTATTTGGAAATTAGAATAGTAATGGTAGATTGAAGAGTTTTTCATTAGAAATAATAAGGATTTTGTTTATTCAAAAAAATAAATGTATTTTATATTAGAATAATTTTTAGAGAAGTAAACATTAAGAATACTATCTGAAAATCATAATATACGTTAAGTTATATATGTAGAAAGAGAATTTTGTTTTTTTCAAGTGGTTAAGATAAAGTGCAAAATTTTATGTTGAAATTCTATGTTTGTAAGTACGAATGAGTCCATATATGAGATTTGTTGTCTATAAAGCAAATTTTAGATGCACCAAAACATGGCCAATAAATCTTATAACAAACATCTCCCCAAATTTCTGTTTCCGATATTCGTTTTAATAAAAGGATCATGAAACTTATAAAGAAATTGAATAGTGAAAGATATGAAGAAGAAAATAGATACGATCTAAGGAGAAAAGAGAGTATATGCCGGGAGACGACGAGTGAATCATAGAAGATAACGAGAAAAATTATAGTGAAAAGTGTGCAAAAAATTATACTACTTTAAAAAGATAATGCACATGAGTAAAGTAAAATATTTTAAAATTTAATTGATTATATTTATATTTAAAGAATAAAATTTGTATATTAAATCCCGCGCAACGCGCGGGGGTACATAATCTAGTATAAATAAATGACAAAATTAACAGAGTTTGGAGTGTTACAATTCAGACAATTATAAAGGATTAAGACTTTAAAAGAAAAGGAAGATGGCTACAAAATGAAACTGAATATTATCTCCATTTTACTCTCATTGTATTTTGCTGTTTTCTTTTTGGGAAAAATGTCATTTAAATCATCACTTGGCCATTTTCGTTGGTTTAAAGCATGAACTCTGGACCTGGTGATTTAAATCCTCAACTTTATGTGAACTTGGTGATTTAAATCTTCAATTTTATGTTGACTTTTAATGTAATTACGAATTCTCGTTGACTAAGCCAATTGAGGCACATCGTTAACTGTCTAAATAGAGCAATTAGACGAAGAGGAAGATGGAAATCATGTTGGTGTAAAAGAAAAATTATGTGATGGCTTCGAAGTGCCAGTTATGCGATGACATCGTCTTATTGATCCGTTTAACCAGTTAGCGATGTGCCTCAAATGGCTTTGTCAATGAGAATTCATGATTAAAATGAAAATCAACATAAAATTAAGGATTTAATTCACCATGTCTAGAGTTCATGATTTAAACCAACGAAAATGGTAAATTGATGATTTAAATGACATTTTTCTCTTTTCTTTTTAATTCAGCCATAAATTAAAACCTATATAAACTAATATTCGATAAAATTAACACCACAATAAATCAATACATTATTAATTTATAAAGATTTTACCGTAGATCAATTCTCTATAAATCCTATTTATTTTTTACAATTTTTAATATATAGACCAGATTTTGACATGAACAATATCGGTTTTCATTCAATCATCCAAAATTTCAAAATAAATAGTTTTTTTTTCCTCAATAAATAGTTAAAATTTGAGAACTATACTATATACACGTTCTTAAAACATTCAGTTTGTTATATAGACCTTGTTATATTCGTGTGTGTTCCGTGTATTACGCCAGTTTGACTCGTTCACCGCTGTAAAAAAATTCGTTAAAGACTGACAACAAATTATGGCATCAAGAGAAATAGATTTGTCATCAAAGTACACAACTACGCATCACCAAAAAGTAAAATAGACAAAACAGAGCTTGTCCTCACGCCTCTCTCTTTTCCCGGCAACAACTAACAACACTTTACCTTTCTCTCTAAGGCAAAACCCTTCTCTTCTTTCTCTTATGTGACCACTCCTCCATGCATCACTCCTCCGCCGCCGTCTCCGGCGAACTCACAAAACCACCAACAGCTCCACTCCAACCACTTCTTGACTTAATCACAAACGTCCTCTCCCTCCTCCTCCTCTCTTCCCTCACCGTCCGTTCCTTCATCGGCCGTTGGCAAATCCTCCGATCCAAACTCTTCTCACTAAACTCATCACTCTCTTCCTTATCAGAATCACCTCACTGGTCACAAAATCCTCTCCTCCACACTCTCCTCCCTTCTCTCCTCTCAAATCTCCAACGCCTCACTTCACTCTCCGACCAATGCTCCTCCGCTTCATTCTCTGGTGGTAAACTTCTCATGCAAAGCGACCTCGATATCGCTTCCTCTTCACTCTCCACTCACATAAGTGACCTTGACCTCCTCCTCAGATCTGGTGTCCTCCATCAACAAAACGCTATCGTTTTATCGCTCCCACCTCCAACTTCAGATAAAGATGACATTGCTTTCTTCATCAGAGATCTCTTCACTCGTCTCCAAATCGGTGGAGCTGAATTCAAGAAGAAATCTTTAGAATCTCTTCTTCAACTTCTCACCGATAACGAAAAATCCGCAAGAATCATAGCTAAAGAAGGTAATGTTGGTTACTTAGTCACTCTTCTTGATCTCCATCACCATCCTTTGATCCGTGAGCATGCACTCGCCGCCGTCTCGTTATTAACTTCATCAAGCGTCGATTCGAGAAAGACGGTATTCGAACAAGGCGGATTAGGTCCATTACTAAGATTACTCGAAACCGGATCTCCACCGTTAAAAACAAGAGCAGCGGTGGCGATTGAAGCTATAACCGCCGATCCAGAAACCGCTTGGGCTATCTCAGCTTACGGCGGCGTCACCGTATTAATCGAAGCTTGTAGATCAGGATCTAAAGAAGTACAAGAACACATCGCCGGAGCTATTAGCAATATCTCCGCCGTTGAAGAAATCAGAACAACACTAGCTGAAGAAGGAGCTGTACCGGTTCTTCTCCCTCTCTTAATCTCCGGTTCATCGTCGGTTAAAGAAAAGACGGCGAATTTCATCTCTTTAATCTCATCTTCCGGTGAGTATTTCAGAGATTTGATTGTTAGAGAAAGAGGATTACAGATTCTGATTCATTTAGTTCAAGAATCATCAAATCCCGATACGATCGAACACTCTTTGCTTGCTCTCACTCAAATCTCCGCCATGGAAACAGTTTCTAGGGTTTTATCATCATCAACAACATTCATAATCCGATTAGGTGAATTAATAAAGCACGGAAACGTGATCCTTCAACAGATCTCATCTTCTCTTTTATCGAATTTAACAATCAGCGACGGCAACAAACGAGCCGTCGCTGATTGTTTAAGCTCGTTGATTCGGTTAATGGAATCGCCGAAACCGGCGGGGTTACAAGAGGCGGCAACGGCGGCTGCGAAGTCGTTGTTGACCGTTAGATCAAATCGGAAAGAGCTGATAAGAGACGAGAAGAGTGTGATTCGATTAGTGCAAATGTTAGATCCGAGGAATGAGAGAATGGCGAATAAAGAGCTTCCGGTGATGATTGTGACGGCGATTTTATCAGGCGGAAGTTACGCGGCGAGGACGAAGTTAATTGGTTTAGGAGCTGATCGTTATCTTCAAACTCTAGAGGAAATGGAAGTTTCCGGTGCTAAGAAAGCGGTTCAGAGACTCGCCGCCGGTAATCGGTTAAAGAGTATCTTCACCAGAGCTTGGAAAGATCACTAAGGTACGTGGCATTTTCGTAATTTTACGATTTCTGAATGAAAAGACTAAATTACCCCTCTGATTCGAATGGGACCAGAATTTTTATGTTTTTCACATAAAATAAATTTAATTGATTAGGAAAATACAGATGGGAAGATATTACATAATTTGAAGGTCCCCTTTGAAAACGTGGTTTATGAAATTTTATATTGTTGCATTAACGTTGATATAGACTTAACATGTCTAATTGAGCTGTCACCGACATGCATTGTTTATTAAATATATGGATTTGAAGAATTGGACTGATCTTAGATTCAACGTATGTGAAGCCAAAACAGATTAATTCAATTATTAATTATGATTAAGGTTCTTATAATGTAAGTTTAATGATAAATTTTGTTAGTGGAAGTGTAATAAATGTCTAAATTTACAGGTGTGAAGGATTCAATCTGTGGAAGGCGAAGATTCCGATTACTCATACTCTATACAACACATTCACATCAACAAACAATTGTTTTTTTAAATATGAAAATCCTAATATTTATTTTAAACTATTTTCGAAAGTCATGGATGCAGGTTTTATAGTATCCTTCTTCTGTTTTTTTTTTATTTATTTATAAAGTTTGTCATTGAAGATGATTCTAAGTGGAAGAGTTTTTTTTTTTTTTTTTCCACATGTATTATTTGTGTGATTATATATGTAAATGACTCTTGAGTTTTGATCTGTAGGAGTACTAAATATTGTAACTGTTTATTTTATGTGATTGTAAGAGTGTCATTTTTTCTTGTCTCTATATTTTTGCTTACCTTATTTATCAATGCCTTGAAAAGAAAATTATGTGAAGTTTTTAGGTCACACTATTTTGTTACTGAATTTTGTAAGTGATGATCGTGTATATGCAACCTCTATTGTGTCTCCACCTCTTCTTCGGATTCACGTTAAATAACAAACAAATTATTCGTCGTGCTTATAAGATGATAAGTAATGGAAGGAAAAACACTATAAGTGATTATTGCTTGCATCAGTGAATGATTCAATGTTCACATGATCATCATGATTCATATTCATCAGATGGTAGTCACAAGAACATGCTTTAAACTATATAGCCCATTTATGATGGTTGTAGACACAACGTCAAGCCATTCTAGCATTCCCAAATCTCCATTGTTTTGGCGTTTTTCAATTGCAATTTCCGCACACTAATACTTTTTCTGTTTATGGTTTTGACAAACACAAACTCTTCCCAAAAAACCTCTCATGCTCTAACCAAGTACGTAGTATACATATGTTTATTTTTGATAGATGTATTCCCATGTGTCGATTTCTTTTTTCATCTTAGTGAATAAGAATTCTAAGATGGTGTCTTTTGTCCCCTTGTTCTTTATGTCATTTACTTGAAACCTCTTTATTTTACTAGTTTATGGTTCTTGTTTCAGTTGTGTTGGCCTTAGTCATGACGTGACTCAACAGTTCTTCATGAAGTGTCTTCACTCAAAAATCTTTTGTTTCATGTAGCCTATCGACGGGAGTGCTAATAGAAACAATTGTTCAGATCGAAGTTTTATGTGTTCTGCTTTTGATGAGGAGATGAAATAAATAGAGGAAAAGAAATTGAAGAGATAGAAGTTTGTCTCTGTCCTTATGATGTTAGTTTTATTTTGTTAAAGACTTATGATGTTAGTATAAGACTTGGTATGATGTTATGTAAGACTTGTTTGGCTAATTGGTTAATGTAATATTACTTGTTGATGATTTAATTATAAAATATAAAAGTTATATATATATATATATATGTCCAATTAAATAAATTTTACAAAATTGGGTTCCAATATAAATTTATTTTATAAAATAAATTAAATTTATATAACGAAAAAAATGTTACGACATTATATAAAACATCACTAAATGTGTGTTATAATAAAGTATATTATAGCATCCTATAAATGCTATAACATAAAAAAGCTATCGTATGTAGAGGTCTACCATAACTGGGACATAAAATAAACGCTATTGATGATATATAATAATTATTCTCTCTTGCTAATAATGTAGATATTTCTTGTATTCGAGATCGAGTTTGAGTAACATCCAGCCTTTCCGACCTTTCTTCTTTCTCATGGAATGCACTGCACATTCACATTCACATTCACATCAGCAAGCAATTGTTTTTTTTCCTCTCTGAATATGAAAATCCTAATATTTGTCATAGTCTTGGATGCAGGTTTTATCGAGTATCATACTTTTGTTTTATGTTTTTTTTTTCATGTATTTGTGTGATTATATATGTAAATGACCCTTGAGTATTTGATCTGTAGGAGTACTAAATATTGTAACTGGGATTCGGTTGTGTGTTTCTCGATATGTTTTATCCCAAATTTTATCTCCAAACGCTTAAGGTTACGAGTTACATGTTCTTGAATACCTTACTCGTACGGGGCGTGTCATGGAAAGACAAAAGCTTTTTACCTTCACAATCTTAAGCGTTTTTCCAAACACTCGTAAGCATTACCACTAAGCCATAGCTTTACAGGATCGATCACTAATGGCGATGGAGCTCTCCGAAAATTCCATAAATTCTAGTGTTATACCATATAACAAGAGCTTGATAGCTGTATACTGTAATAATATCTACTGACTCGTGGTTACATATAAAAAAAATAACTTACCGCAAAACGACTAGTAACCATATCGAAGGTGAGAGATTCCAGTTCCGGACAGCTATTGAGAAATATACTAATTCCCACGAAGTCATTTGTGTGCATATTTGTTTTCATCACCAAATGTCTAGTTTTCATCGGATCGTGTAAAGCCATAGGTTGGTCACAATCTTGGAGCATCTTCTTCCCAGAGAAAAAGAAAGTCAATTGACGCACCAAAAAAAAACGTGTGCATATATACAATGTTCTAACTTCTAACAGTAAGGAAATGAATATAGTCCCTTAAAGTTTGTAGACTAACTCATCGAAATTAAAATTCCAGACTATATCTCTCCCAATCAATTGGTATTGAGGGAGATACTTCTCTCACTAATTTTGCCGCCTCTCAACAAGTCAAGAACTTTTTTTTATGCAATAAAATATTAAAATCACTATCTAAAAATTCTATATGTGTAATTATTTTAAATTAAGAAGTGATTTTATATTTAATTACATATGTCAAAAATTAGAAAAATATATGATGAGAGTTAAAATAATTTTAATAGTTGTGATTTATTTCATAAACTAACAAATTTTATAATAGAAAAAGATTGACAAAAGAGGAAACATATATTAATCATATTTACATAATTTTCATGGGTTGTCAAATGATAACAAAATATACATTATAATCAATCTATATATATATATATGGTAATATTATATTATTTTATTTTTGGAAATATTAGTTTAAACTAAAATTGCCTAACTACTTGAACAAATGCAGTGTTTTCACACCCGACCCGGACCCTCCGGTCCGACCGGTTAACCCATGACCCAGACACTTTTCCGCTTTGGGTTTAGTGCTAATATCCGCTAATTTTAAAACCGGAAAAATCCACAAAAAACCCGCTATTAACCCGCGACCCAGTGAACCGGTTGAACCGGTTGGGTATGGGTTTTAAGAAAATCATTTGATTTTGTAATAAAATATAGAGTTTTAGACTCTATTTAGTTATTTTTTAAAAAAAATTTTAGTTCTTAGACTCATTTGATATTTTAGATTTTGATAAAACTTCATAGTGTCATCTAAGGAGAATGAATGGAATGGTAAAAAAAAAATCGAGATTAGTTGTTTTGAATTCGCGATGTTTTATTAGTTTATTTCCGTCATTGGCGATCTCCTACTATTTTAATATTTGTTACGGTTTTAGACTTTTACTTGGATTTAAAAAATTTAATTTGAATCACTTTATTATTATTGTTAGGCTTCATATTTTGTAAATATAGTATGAATATTTTTATTTTTATATTTATAAAAACTATATAATCTCTATAAATATTAAATTTATTAAATAAATTTTAATCAATTGACCCGTGGTCTAACCCGGTTGACCCAGTGACCCGGTGACCCAGAAGGTAGTCCGGTTCAGTGTCTGGGTCGGGTTTAAAAACATTGAACAAATGTAAAGATAGATCTAAAACAAGTGTATATATTGGAAAAATCATGTAATATCAAGTACTGCATATACATATCCTTAGACCAAAAATGATAAATATATAACATATTTCAACTTTCAAGTACATAAAACGATTTTTGTTTTATTACATATAGAACAAATAAGTTGTTACAAGTCCTTATTATTCTATAAGAACATTGTTATGTTCATATTATCATATATTTTACCAAGGAAAAATTAGTCTATGAAGCTAATTTTTTTTTTAATGAAATGTTAAATTGATTGATCAAATAAAATTATTTACAAAAAAGTTTCAGCTAAGCTTAAGAAACTATGCTTAAAATGTTTGTTCCTAAACTTAAACAACAAAACCAGAACTTGAGTTTCCCTCACGTCATCTGGTTTTGGTGTTGTTAAACTTAAACATTAAAACAAGAAACTATCGTTGAAGAAGATTTCTAAGTCGCGGCTTCGAGGCATAATCCATATGAAGCTAATTTAGCTAGATCATATAAATCTTGTAACACCCTGGTTTTAAGAATATGGTGGTGCATGCGGAGAGGTATAAAAGAATTGAGCCACCTATATCACCAAAGTGCACTTATCTTTTCGGTCAACTGTTCCTGAGAGAACTCCACAGTTAAGCGTGTTTGAGCCCGAAAAGTTACAAGATGGGTGACTTTCCGAGAAGTGATTGTCGAACTGTGTGAGTAAGTACAAAACACATGGAAAGATCGTGTGATGATTTTTAGGGTCGGTAAACAAGTCTGTAAAGCCGGATGTAGCGGACCGGCGGTCAGACACGGGTGGGCCCATGGACCGAGAGAGGATGTGGACCCATTAAAAGAGATGGCGGTCAGGGCGTTACAAGTGGTATTAGAGCCAAACCTAGACGAGTGTGGAGTCAAGAGGGCTCACACCGTCAAGAGTGACAGTCTTGGTGCGCAACGAGGACGTTGCTATCTGTTAGCGAGGGTGAATTGTAACACCCTTGTTTCAGTAATATGGTGGTGCATGCAGAGAAGTTTAAAAGAATTGATTTGGCCACCTATATCACCAAAGTGCACTTATCTTTTCGGTCAACTATCCTGTGAGAACTCCACAGTTAAGCGTGCTTGAGTTGGGAAAGTTTCATGATGGGTGACCTTCCAAGAAGTGATTGTCAGAATTGTGAGTGAGAACAAAACACAGGAAAAGATCATGTGGTGATTTGTAGGGTCGGTAAACAAGTCTTTAAAACTTCTCAGACGTAGCAGACCGGTCGTTAGACACGGTTTGGCCCATGGGCTGAGAAAGGATATAAGGCCCATTAAGAGAGATGGCGGTCGAGACTTTACAAATCTAGTTGCTAAAATGCTTTCTTACACAATTTCTAGAAATACTCAGAAATCAAGCATTTCCAACAGGTCCATACGCGTGTATATCCATATATGAGACCATATCTTCACCATTAATTCTCAAGATTTCTTTCCTTGTTAGCAAGTTGACTACTTAAGACCAATGGAAGTCTCCCCTTGTTCTAGTTTATAAAAGCACTCCCCTTCCTTTGTTCTCCTCACATAATTCCTAAGTACTAAAAAGTTCAAGTCGTTTGCTTCCATAATTCGAGTCTTCCATTATTCTTTTGAGTCAATATATTTGTTTGGCTTCCCTTATTGGCTATTTATGATACTATGCAATTTGTGCGACCCGAGTCGTCTCGTGAATCTTGTATTTTTGTGTGGTGTTTCCTTAGATGAAGTCTCATTAATCGGTTATTTATAATCACATCATCTCCACAAAATCAACACTTGTGCATCTCCACATCTACCTCCCTCTTAGCATCTCCTTGAGGCGTGTATCATTGATTTGATGGGAGGCAGCAAGTTCGGTGAGAAACATGATATTTCCCCAAAACGCAAAGGTTAGGAAAGTAAATTTCAAAAAATTTTGATGACTTACCAGTAAATATTGAGATCTATTCATGCATAACAAGAACAAAAAAAGCCCTATAAATCCTTGTTGGTTCTATGGTTTCTCTATTGAAAACAGATAGTGTCATGAACTCGGATTCTTTGAAAACGAGGCTTGTCGTTTCACGATACAGGTATCTCCATCGTTTGAAAAGAACACTCGTTTGTAATGATTCTTTGAAAGGCAACATAGATATGATCAAAACCAAAAACTGAACATGTAAGTTTGATAGTAAATCTGATTTATTTGTTGAATCAAGACTTTCAAAAGAAAAAAAAATTCAGATTTGTTATCGAATTTATATGATTGCCTTATTGTCTTGAACTTTTTTATCTTGCCTTTCAAATAATCTTTATGAATGAGTGTTTTTTCTAAATGATGGAAAAATCTTTATCGTGAAACAACAAACTTCGCTTTCAAAAAATCCATGTTCATGAAACTATATGTTTTCGATTAAGAAATCATAAAAATCCACAAAACTTGATAGGGTTTTATTTTCGTTCTATTCGTCAATGGATCTTAAAGTTTGTAGGTTAAATCATCGAAAATTCCAGACTATATCTCTCCCAATCAATTGGTTTTGAAGGAGATATTTCTCTCACTAAATCTACCGCCACTCAACAAACCAGAACTCTTTCTTATGCAATAAAATATTAAAATCACTATCTAAAAATTCTATATGTGTAATTATTTTAAATTGAAAAGTGATTTTATATTAAATTACATATGTTAAAAATTAGAAAAATATATGATGAGAGTTAAAATAATTTTAATAGTTGTGATTTATTTCATAAATTAAAAAATTTTATAATAGAAAAAGATTGACAAAAGAGGAAACATATATTAATCATATTTACATACAATAATATTTTCATGGGTTGTTAAATGATAACAAAATATACATTATAATCAATATATATATATATATATATATATATATATATATATTTGGTAATATTATATTATTTTATTTTTGGAAATATTCATTTAAACTAAAATTGTCTAACTACTTGAACAAATGTAAAGATAGATCTAAAAACAAGTGTAGTATGTATTGGAAAAATCATGTAATATCAAGTACTGCATATACATATCCTTAGACCAAAAAAGATAAATATATAACATATTTCAACTTTCAAGTATATAAAACGATTTTTGTTTTATTACATATAAAACAATTAAGTTGTTACAATTCCTTATTATTCTATATGAACATTGTTATGTTCATATATTTTATCAAGTAAAACTTATTCTATGAAGCTATTTTTTTTATTTATGAAATATTTAATTGATTGATCAAATAAGATTATTTACAAAAAAGTTTCAGCTGAGCTTAAGAAACTATGCTTAAAATGTTTGTTCCTAAACTTAAATGACAAAACCAGAACTTGAGTTTCCCTCACGTTATCTGTTTTTTGGTTCCTGAACTTAAACATTAAAACCAAAAATCATCGTTGAAGAAGATTTCTAAGTCGCGGCTTCAAGGCATAATCCATATGAAGCTAATTTAGGTAGATCATATCAATCTAGTTGCTAAAATGCTGTCTTACACAATTTCTAGAAATACTCAGAAATTAAGCATTTTCCAATATGATTTTATAAATTCATAATCCCAAAATATTCTACAACCTTTTGAATAGGTTCGTATTACCACTCTGGAATTATTATTTTTTTATAATCTTCAGTACGCAAGTTCTATAAAATTAATGAAAATGACAATTTTGCATCAAATGGCATAACGGTTTAAAATGTAAAATTAGATTTAAAACTAGAAGATAACAAGTTAAGTTTTTTTTTTTGGTTTTTAATTAAAAGAAATTTTGATTTTAGGCTATGCTAACGTAGGGATTGTTTTAACATTTTTCTTAAAATTTCAGGGTTAGTTATAGGATATGGTATTTTAAATGTTCTTAATTGGTAGAGGTGAGGATTTCTTTCCTCATTTTTCTTTTAAGTAGTAGAAATAAGTTTTTCTTTTTTTTTCCTTAAGAGGTGAAACCCAACTATCCAAGACACCAATATATATGGTATTAGAGTTTCCACGTTCAGGTGACCTGGAAGCACGAAGTCAGGAAGCAAAGAGATGTAGAACACAAATTAAAATCAATTATTGTATTTAAAAAGAGAATGTGTATATGCAAAAATGTATCAGAGATGTGCTTTTATTTCCAGGATTAGACAAATTAACACTTGCTAAGTGTACATCAGATGATAAGGAATGGATCTTACGTTTTGTTTGTAGTAAACAAGTGCATAAACACAGTCTCCACTTTGTTTATCAACGTATATTTTGATGCTTTTTTCTTTGATTCAGTAATTATTTTGTATCCCTATACCATTTAACCTTTTTGCTAGTGTATGCTTCGACACCCTTATTCTCATATTCCCCATAGAACAAAGTTGATAAACGTCCAATGTCGCTGCAATACTACAATTTGTAGTCAACATGTTGCTTTGTCAGCTCAGAGGCGATTGCACCACCATTTCAAAAAATCGACTAAGCGTGTGATATAGTTAATTTTTTGGTCAACTATATTTTTAATATTCACTTATTTTTTGCTCATATTTTGCTCTTTATGTAAATTTTTTTCTTATTTTAAAATGTATACTAGTTATAATGTATTGATGGAGTTGAAATGTAAAAAAAAAAAAAATAAGCTGCCATTAAATTCATTAAAGTTTTAATTTGATCTTTTAGAAATTATTTGATACATTATATTGATTTTGCAAAATAAATATGAATAGGATTTTAAATTAAAAAGTAAAGACCAAAAAATCGTAATTTCAATAATTTCGTTATAAAAAACATCTTTTCACATTTTAGTAATTTTTTCTTGCTATTTCATACTGTATCATTCAGCGTCTTGTAGTCTAGTTGCAATCGTTGACAACCACCATTTTGGCAACATCTTAAGGCACTATAGTTACGTTATTAAAAACATAATAAATTTGATAAACCAGTTGAAATTAATGCCAAGAAAAAACATAGCTTTAAAAGAAACCTATTTGAAAAGAACACACATCTAACAGAAATGAAATCTTATATATGGTCCATATCAAAGTATTTTACAAAGGTTACTAACTATATATAAATTGTAGAAGTGTGTTTAATAAGCTTCATATATAAATTAAAATGTTTTTAATACATATGACATGTTCGAATGTAAAATAAAAATCCGTAATTTTTGTTCAATAAGCTTTAAATATAAGAAAAACAAATTTGCTTTTCTGATTTTAAAAGCACCATCTTGACAGCAGTTAATTAACCAAGACAGCAAGCGATCAACACTAGTAAAAAAAATACGTATAGCCACTTCAATATTCATGGCTGCAGCTGAAAATTCGTGGCTGTAAGTCGATATAGCCACGACTAGTGACTAAAAATAATCGTGGCTATAGCTTCGTAGCTTTTTTTTTCCGTGGCTTTTCATGGCTGCATAGCCACGAATTAGTCACTCATATTTCGTGGCTCTGATTAGCCACGAATTAGTCACTCATATTTCGTGGCTCTGATTAGCCACGAATTAGTCACTCACTTTCCGTGGCAAATTATAGCTACGATTATGTCACTATGATTTCGTGACAAATTTAGCCACGGAATATACGTAGCAAAGTTCGTGACAAAATTAAGTAAGCCACGATTCAATAAGTAACATGATCGTTGGTTGAAGCCACGATCATAATCTTGCCAATGAATTTTAGTTGTAATATTCGTGGCTAATCATGTATAATTTTCTTCTAAAAAAAACAATGCTATAAATAAACCTGAATTGAAAAGCTTAAAATCCAAATAACAATAAATCCTAATAAGAAGATTAGATTACATAATTATAGTAGTCTTGTAAGTTACAATACCAAAAGGCAAAAAGGGTGCTAATTTTAGTCATACAAAAGACCCCATTCATACAAAAGAAACATAAAAAACAGAAACTTATAAACCTGCTGAAGCACACCAAGCATCTAAGTTGCCTTGTTGTGTTCTTGTAGGAGGGTCTGTCGGAGACACAGCAGGAGACGCAGCAGCAGACGTAGCACCAGCAGACGCAGCAGCAGCAGACGCAGCAACAGGAGGACCATCACGACCAGCAGTGGAACCAGCACAACCGAGACCAGCAGCAGCAGCAGCACGAGCCACAACGTCACTTGGAGCAAGACGAACTCCCAGAGACTGCATAATCGCATTCAGCGCAAGTCGGGTTACAGCCAGCTCATCCATTACCGTGCCCATGCCAGACTTCAGCTCCACCATGTCTTCCTTGAGCGCCTCATTGGTTTCCTTGAGTGCTTCATTGTTTTTTTCCAAACCATAGATGCGCATCTCATTGTCAAGGTTGCGAGACATAGCAACAGCCACTTTCTCGGATGGATTGATTTCCCGGTATTGTACACTGCCTAATCCGTAGATATACCCTCTTTTAGACTTACCACGCTGTGAAAGAAAGAAACAAATAAGAATCAAGCATCATTCAAAACTAAACACAATTTCAGATGGATAAACAAAACTGAACCAACTCAGAATCAAACAAATGAGAATAAACCAAACTGAACAAAAATATACCAATATCACATGAGGCAGTTATCAAATATTTTGGTGAGTACCTTGAGATATTCTTTGTTCAGCACAAGTCGAGAAGGAAGACCACCAGATGAGGCCGTCTGGTCATTGAGAGAATCATCCTCTTCCATAACCTGTTTAGCCGCTTCTTCTACTTCGAGTACAAGAGACTCCGAACGAGCGTCCATAGTACCATCTTTACGAGTGTGAGTCCTCCTCACAAGGTCTGTGAAGGGAGGTGGTTCATCCAAACCAGACTCAACCATCTACAAAAACAAAGAGGAATAATGTTAGTCCAAACCTAAGAAAGTATACAATAATAACAAAGGAAAATTAGAAGAGAAACACTTGCCATTTGATACTCAATCCGTGCAAATGCTCGAGGGCCTGCACAATGCTTGTGAATTCCTTTATTAAGAGGATCAGACATGCGGCACCCAGCAGCTGACTTGCTCTTCTTTTGAGCTGGTTCTGTATCCCAATACTCCATCAGAAAGTCCCAATCAGTTTCGCCAATGTACTTGGGTTTCTTGTTCTTCCCCTTCTTCTTGCTGATGCGGTCACCAATTGATGTCATTGTCTCCTTCTTCCAAAGAAAGTAGACTATGTCATGAAAACGAGCTTCCCAGTAGTAGTGTTGCTACAAAAAAAAACAGAGATTAGTAGTTGTAAGGTAAGTGATGAAAGTAAGTTAACTCAGAGAAAAGAATCAAATATTACCACAAATGTGTGCCACCAAATTTCTTGCCTATCCTCAGGAACATCTGACCAGTTCTTCCACGGTCCCATGAAATTGCTTTGCCATGTTGTGCGAACGAATTTGTAGACAGAGGGGTCAATACCAAACCTGAGAAAAGAGAACAAAACATTAGATTTGAAGACAACAATGAAGAAACTTATTCAAACCGAACAAACATTCTGCGGTTATTTTAAACTAACCATAAAGCTCCATTAAGCTTCCTCGGGTGCAGGTGTGGCTGGGATTCTCTTTCAGGAGCACTCAGCAATGCATCAAGAGTTCTCTGGCTGTAGTTGTTTGCATGTGACGACGCAGCGCTTGGAGATCGTGTGGCTCCTGGTGGTACAGTTCCATTTGGTACAGCTCCAGGAGGTACCCTTCGATGGTTTAGCTCTTGCAAAAAATGAGAAACAAGTAAAAATCAGAAACTAAAAAACAAACATATCATACACTTGAGTAAATTAGAACACACACAGAATCTGATACATAATTTAGTTTAAGTCAAAGCTTATAATCTGCAAATCCAAACCCATCTTCAGTTTTTAATTCGGAAATAATCACACAAAAAAAAAATTTGAAGCTAATAACAGAAACAAAAGATCTATAACCCTAGCTAGAAAAGAGTGAAATCGAACAAAGAGAGAAATCGAGAAAAGGTATAGACTAATCCAACCCTAGACAGTCCTAAACATCCACAATAACAACAGATCTAACAATTTTGAGTTTTCTTATCTTGTCCATGGTTATGCGTGTGGAAACAATATCCGCGTGAGTGGTATATAGGCCAGGATGTATAATTACGGTTAGGACCTTGGATGAAATCCAACATCCACAGTGGAAATTGAAACGATTCTGTAGCGTCGTTAATCTGAAATTAAAACCACATTATATATAGTAATTATAAAGTAAAATTCATATATATATATAGTATTAATTAACAATATTTATCTCCTATATTATACTTACATAGTCTTTACACCATTCTGCAAAGTGTTCGTCTTTTGCTTTTCCCATTTCTTTACTTGTAATTCTTGGGATTTGCTCCGTCATATACTCTTCGAACATTCTGTAAAATATAGTTAGGGATTAAAAATAATATATATATATATATATATATATATAATTGTAAAATACTTTAAATTTCATACCGTTCATAAGGTTCGAAGGTGTCACAGTTAAGCAGCAAAAACGTTTGTAGCACGGTGTAGTCTTGATCATTAAACCATCCATTTGTGGCTTTTCCACTAACACGACCCTCATGGTAGAACAAGCTCTGCACATCTGGATAAAAGTATGTAAATCGGATTTCTCCAGGAACTGGAACAACATCATCTCTAACTTCTGGATGTCCAAAATAATTTGCAGAAGCATTTGCTATCTCCTCATTCACGCATTGTGCAACAATCGAACCCGCTATATGTGCCTTGTTCTTAACTTTCCTCTTTAAATGGTACATGTATCTCTCGAACGGATACATCCACCGATATTGCACTGGACCTCCTAAAGCAGCTTCATCTGGTAGATGAACGGGAAGATGTTCCATAACATCAAAGAACGATGGAGGAAATATCTTCTCCAAATTGCAAAGTTTAACGGCAATATTTGCTTTCAACAAAGCAACATCATCTTTACGTAAAATCTTCGCTGAGATATCCCGAAAAAAGAGTGAAATATCTACACATATAAATAATTAATTTAATTTATTGATATATATAGAAAAATATATACAAAGTAGATAAGCAATAAGTTACCTGAAATAGCCGTGTGAATACTTTTGGGAAGAAGTTCTGCAAACGCAAACGGGAGTAGTCGTTGCATGATGACGTGGCAATCATGGCTTTTCAGTCCAGATAACTTCCAATGGTTTTCGTCAACACAACGACTAAACTTTGACGCATATCCATCTGGAAACCGTATATCATTTTTCATCCATAGGAGAAATGCTCTTTTTTTTTCATTCGACAATCTAAATATTGGCACCGGCATTATTCCATCTCGGGTAAGATGTAAATCACGTCTTCTACATAACGCCGGAAGATCCATTCTTGATTTAATGTTATCTTTCGTTTTCCCAGGAACATTCAAAACCGTGTTGATGAGATTATCGAGAAAATTCTTCTCGGTGTGCATGAAGTCAAGGTTATGTCGAAGAAGAAGATTTTCCCAGTATGGTAACTCCCATAATATACTTTTTTTCACCCAATTATGATCAACCCCATATCCATCGATAGTTTGAGCAGGCTTCTCGTGTCCGTTCCCTCCACAATCGACAGTTCTAAACAACCCACGAATATTGTTTATTCTTTCGTAAAGAATTTCCTCTCCAGTCAACCACGGTGGAGGATCATCTCTTACTTCCTTCCCTCCGCGAAATGCTTGAACATTTTTTCTGTAAGGATGATCTTGAGGTAAAAACATTCTGTGGCAATCAAACCAACTATGCTTCCTTCCATTTGGTAACCAAAACGATTTTGTGTCATCTAGACAATATGGACAAGACAAACGGCCATGCGTCATCCAACCAGACAACATGCCATATGCTGGGAAGTCGCTGATTGTCAACATCAAAGCAGCTCGCATCGTGAATTTTTGTTTCTTTGATACATCGTACGCTTCTGCCCCGTCAATCCACAGACTCTGCAATTCTTCGATCAATGGTTGGAGATAAATATCGAGACTCTTTTTGGGATGCTTTGGCCCAGGAACAAGTACCGATAAAAAGAAAAATTCTCTCTTCATGCACATGCCGGGAGGTAAGTTATAAGGAGTTACAATCACTGGCCAAACCGAGTGTGCCTCACCATTCATACCAACAGGATTAAATCCATCTGTTGATAAGCCTAGATAAATATTGCGACTTTCAGCAGCAAAATTAGGATATACCTCATTGAAATGTTTCCATGCTGCTCCGTCGGACGGGTGGTGCATTTCTCCTTCGGGAGACATATGTTCAGCATGCCATCGCATAGCCGTTGCAGTATTCTCTAACTGGTATAGCCGCTTCAGCCGATCTGTAATTGGCATGTAAAACATTCTTTGCTTAGGCCTTTTTTTCCCTTTTCCATTGTGTGGATGGTATCTATCTTTATCACAAAACCGACACCGCAACAGTTCTCCATCTTCTCCTTTCCAAAAAAGCATGCAATTATTCTCGAAAACATCAATCTTATATACCGGTAGACCAAGCGCTTGTGTCAACTTCTTTGTCTCGTAGTATGATGCAGGAGCTTTATTTGGTGTGGGCAGAACGGCTTTGAAAGTCTGTGATAGCTCATCTACGCATGCCTCCACCATATTGTAATCAGATTTTGCTTTCAACATACGTGAAGATAGGTATAACTGAGAAATTCCTTCTGGACAACCATCGTAAAGAGGTTCCTTAGCGGCTTCAAAAGCTTCGAAAACGCTATCATGATATGGTTCTTCGTTTGTTGTTTCCATCATATTCTCTACTACATGTGGAGCCTCCATCTCTTGTTCTATATTCGCATTTCCATATGGAAAATACTCGTACGGATTTTCTGGAACTTGAAAATTTGTAGAATTTGGTGGCCACGTCGCTTCTTCACCGGTAAAATGACTTGTTCCTGATGATTCTCCAACGTCATAATATTGTTCTCCATGGTTCAACCAAACATAGTAATTTCCCTTAAACCCCACTCGAGAAAGATGTTTAATAACCGTTTTTGCATCACGCTGCTTTCCGTTTTTACAACGCGCACAAGGACACAAAATAGTGTTAGTCTCTTGGTAAGAAGCTTGATTACAAGCAAATTCAATAAAAACATTAACCCCCTCAAAAAACTCATCTGAAACACGATTTGTTAATGGATCAACACGTTGATCCATCCACTCTCGATATTGAAAATAATATGACATTTGAAAATAGTAAATTAAAAAAATATTGAACGCTCGTTTTACTATTTTTTTCTTCTCTTCTTCTTTGCTCTGATAATCAATGGAGAAACGCAGTTGGTTATATAGGAAAGATAAGCCACGAATGTGCTACGACAGTATTTGTGGCTAAACTTTACCACGAAATAGTCACGACACAAAATCGTGGTAATATTAAGCCACGAATATGTCACTGCCACCATTCGTAGCTATATATAGCCACTAATTTGCCGTGAACTTAATTCGTGGCTATAGTTTTCGAATCTTTTCCGACAATATGCAGTCCGCAACTTGGACAACTTGACTGAGATCGACTGAGGTGACATAACTTTCGGTGGATAAGCCACGAATTTAGCCACGTTTTTATTCGTGGATAAACGTCTTTCACAATTCGGTGGAATAGCCACGATTTAACCACGGTATGCGTTGGTGGCTATAGTTTTGCCACGAATTAGCCATGTTTATTTATCGTCACTATGTTGCTACGAATTAAACGTAGCTATAGTGTGGCTCTAGTTTCCACGAATCGACACGTGACAAATTCGTGGCTGTGTTGCCACGGAAAAGCCACGGAAAACCACGGTTTATTTAGAAATACTATTCGTGGCTATTTCGTGGCTATTGCGTGGCTAAGTTAAATTTAGCCACGAACCGCCGTGGTAAAAACGTAGCTATACGTTTTTTTTTTACTAGTGCAATAATCATCAGAAAAATGGCCATAAAGATAGCTAGAGCCACTCTAGCCCTAGAAACTAATTCATCCATTTGTGGGTCAGGCCGACGTTTAGTGACACCACATATGTCGTCTATGCACAAGACGTAGCGGGTAAGAACACTGTTGAGCTAAATGTGGATGTTTGAATAAGATTATTGTGAATTGTGAATAGCAAGAGAAAATACAGCAACTTTGGAACACAATTATCAATTCACAATTCGATTTATTTTACTTAGTCCATCTATATATAGATCTTCATTCTCCCTCATAACAACTGAGCGAGATCTAGCATTGTTCAAAACGTTCATAACAATCTCAAGCTTCTATGAAGATTACTCGAATCCAACAGGTCAAGACATATCCTCAGTAAATAACGAATACACCATGATCATATTTGTGCCTATAATGTAAAAGTTAGAAACATTCTTTTTTGAATTAAATCTGAAAAGAAAAAAGTTTTTAAGGGTCTGTTTGTTTTTTCTAATGGGATTATGGTGTAATTTGTATTCTAGAAACTTTTAAGTCGTTTAATGAAAAGGCTATTATATTTTTTTCTGAAGTTAATTTTGCCTCCAAGAAAGACTTTCTAAATAGTATTACTACAATAAAAAGTGAATATTGTTACTAAAAGCTGTTCTGACACAAATTCTAGAATGTCACAAATCCATGTATGTCTCAAAAAAGTCACAAATGTATGTGACGATTAACAACGGTAACAATTCGTCACTGATTGTGACGACAATTATATAGTGGCAAAAAAGCCACAATTTGTGATGGACGATACTGTCACAAATATGCCACAACTAGTGACTACAAAATCGTAACATAAGTGTCATAAATTATTACCATATTTAAGTCACTGACCCGTTACATTTTGCGACCAAAATATTATCACAAATCCGACACAATTAGTAGTGACTCGATTATAGTCACACAAACGTCACAATTTGTGTTTCAGTTGTGACCTTTTGTCTTACTAAACTCGTATCAATTTGTTACAAAACTAAGAATGTAAACAACACATAGACGTTTAGTCACAATATTACCAAACTTTTTTTTTTTACGAGTGCAGTCACCATTTTTAAAAATATATATGTATAATTATACAATATAACATCAAAAAAAATAACTAGGAAACGAACAAGATTTATAGAAATCTTAAAGACAATAGATTAACATCCAAACAAACTTACTAAACGACTAGCATCCAAATAAAGTAACACAACTTAAAGAAAATTCAAACAAAACAATACTTAGGCTAATAGAAACCAGAATATATACGTAACTAGATTAGCTGGAAGGTCTTGATGGTGGACTCGGATCCAGACATTTTGACGTACAAGAGACTCAACAAGTTTTTCCATAGCTTCAAGTCTTTTCTGAGTTTGCAGATTCTCTTCAAAGCTCTTTTTAAGATCAGTTTCCATCTCTTGTAGCCGATGCGTTATCGTCTCTACTTCTTCAGAAGTTTGTGGTGCACTTGAAGAAACACCAACAGATGGTAGAGCCTCAATTAGTACTCCAAGTCCAAATATATGGCCATGTTTAGATGATCCAGCAGCCTAGAAAAAAGACTAAATGATAGTTTAGACTACACACATCACAAGAACAAATGAATGTAAAATCAGAGACTAACCAGCCTAGAGTGAATGTAAAACCAGAAAGCCTAAAGTGAATGTAAAACCAACCTAATGTTTAGAACTATTACCTTGATATAAATTTCATTTTTCTCATGTTCGTCAAGAGTTTCAGCTGTCAGATTCTCTTCCCCAAAAGATTCAAGTTGACCCCCAAGTGTTCTTGTATATGCTTTTCATAAGTTTCTGCAACCTACCGTACTCGTTGATCATCGTACGTTCCATCAGGCTTCTAATGTGTTTTCTTCATCACAACAATAAAAGAGCAGTCTTCATTGTTTGCTTCCTATAAAAGAAAAAATAAACAAAGTGAAACAACAGAAAAATCATCACAATTAGATATTAACAATAAAAGAAATATATAATTACCAGTACATCTTTAACTCTAACAAACGAGTGAGAACCCGCTCGGTGGGAATTTGGGCCTAAACCATTGCGATCAGACATTCGAGAAGCACGTGCCTTTTCACTAGTCGCTTTCGCTTTTTTAGTTGTCCAATGCGCTTGCTTATATAATGGTCCAATATTCAGATAAAATCCATTCTGGGTTTTCTCCTCCATTCTTAGCATGGCTTATCATTCCTTTGAGGAGATAGGCAGCAAGCTTATTAAAAAAAAATTCCACTTGATAGTCGATAGAAGCATTCCAGTTAAACCTTTTCTGAAAAACGAAGTATATTACACATGATGAGTAACATTGGAAATTATTTATGAAAATAGTCTCATGAAATATAACACAAATAATATCTTAAACAGAGAAAACCGTGATCGTTTGTAGAAAGGTGGCACTCTTTTCCAAGAGTATCATGGCCCGTTAAAACAACTTTGAATGGTCTTTCTTACACCAGTTGATACATGAGTGTAGTGTTTAAACCTGTTCCATTGAAATAAATTAGTTAATGAGTTAAAACTCTGCGAAAATAATCAGCGGTATTCAGGAAAAAATCCAAACTAACTATTTAGCACCATTTAACCGCGAAGGATGCAGCACATGTAAACTTGAACAATCCACATATGGCTCTTCCATATGTACACTATAAACACATAAAAATTCAGAAGTTATCAATCTAGAAATATATATAAAACGATTAACAGATGTAATTTTTAAAAATACAGAAAAGCCAGAGAGAGATTTGAAAGACTAATGGAGAACATAGATTATCAGTTTAACATCTAGACTAGAAGTTTAAAAATCCAGAGAAGCCACAAAGATATTTGAATGACCAATGGAGATGGAAAGCAGAGATTAGCAGTTTAACATTTAAATGATTAAGCTTCTTTTCAAAGGTAATTAAGGATTTTTGTAAATTGATCTCATGACCTAAAGCTTTACCGCATTTCCGTAGATATTGGGGAAATTTCGATCATTTTTTTTTTGCTCGACATAAAAACAGTCTATCATCAACAAAAAGTAAGTGTTGGACTGACGAGCAGATTGGAGTACGTCCCATTCTGGAGATTCTCCTTTCTTATACCGATTATAATTCCAAATAATATTTTTGAGTAATACATATTATTATGATGATTCTAATGATTCTAAGATACGCTAATCGAACCAATCCAAATCTTGTGAGATTGTATAAGAACCAAATCATTGAAATTGAAAGCTATAAAATTGAACCAATACGTATTATTAAAGAAAAAAAACTAGACTAGTGAAATTGTGTTCTGCTTGGGACCAAACCGATGGCCATAGAAAAAGACATCTTCTGCATAAATCTTTAAAAGTCTTTAAAAAATATTCTAAAGACCTAATGGTGAAATATGTAAAATTCAAAAACCATATCTATATATATATATATATATATATATATATATATATATATATTATAATTATTCAAATTTAAATTTGGATGTATTAAAAGTATAACTTTACTTCAAATAAGCAGAGAAAATGTTATATCACTATATAAAAATTTAGTAAAAAAGTGTATTCTCAAATTATAAAATATAAATGAGGCATTTTTCACCAAAAAAAAAAAGAGAACAAAAAAAAACCATCCTTAAAACTTTGTCAACCAACAGCCTTCCCTAAGGTACAAGTGAATCTTTAAGTTTATTGGGTCTCAACAATTTCTTGGCCCAACAATCCCACAAATAGATACTTTTATTTTCACTAAAAATATCTTCAACTAATTCTAGGAAAAAAGCTGTCATCCTATACTATTATTTGGGGAGTACACTTTATAAGATACCCTTAACTAACCTTTATCTTTGTAAGAATTTACTTAAGAATGACATTAGAGATAAAATTTCAAAGAGTAAATTAATTCATCCCATTAAGGATAAACAAGTCAATTTATATAATTTAATTAATTTAATTTAATTATTAAAACGAAAAATACATTATTATTATTATTTTTAAATGACCAATCAAAATGAATATATAAGATTTGATATCTAACTTACCTTATTAATTTTTTATTAATCATTATATTTCACCTCTCATCTTTATATGATTCTATTATTGTGAAATAAATAAATCATCATATCATCCATATAATAATAAAAAATAGATTTTTTTCCGCATATGCCATGATTTGAATTTTTAAAAACGAATAAAAATTATTCAAAAAAACAATTTAACGAGTTAAAAATTTAGACTTGGATAATATATTTCTTTTAAACAAAAATAAATTCAACAAATATTCCGCCTGAATAACGGGTCAGAATTTAAGTAATTATATTCAATTTCATATATATTTTTAAAATATATAGTTTTATATACTACGATAAATTTTTTAAATATTTTAATTTGTAATATTTAAAAATAGTTTTACTTGATATTTAAAAACAAATATCATCAATACTTAATAAATAAAAAAATAAAAATTATACATACACTAATTTGGTTTTCTTTGAACAAATATATTTAAAAAATATTTATAATAGACGGTGGGTTAAATATAACGTATTATATGATGGAATGAGTTATGATCCTAATAATTGAATATTTATATTTAAGTTCATACAATTATTTTTAAAAAATTCTTAATTTTATATTCTACAATAAAAAATAAAAAAATATTTTTATTTGGAAAATTTTAAAAATAGTTTCATATAATATTTTAAAGAATATCATAAATATTTAATAAATCAAAAGATAAAAGTTATAAATACTCTAATTTCATTTTTCAAAGCATAAATATTTAAAATATTTACAGCAAGTAGCATGTTAAATGTAATATATTATATGATAAAAAGAGTTATGATCTTTATAACCGAAACCATGGTAAGATTATATGATGAGATGATTTAAATAAGGTTTGACACCTCTAAATATTTAAAATTTTGATTATATAAGTATATATGAAAATAATGAATGATGGATTGTGCACACAATTTTTTCATTGGGATTCTAAAATAAAAATATATGTACGTACGGGTTGAATTTAATCTTATTATATAACAAAATATGTTTATTATATACGCAATTTTTTTCACTTATTACTAGCATATATCAAATACATACGTTTTATTTTTAACCAAAAAAACGTAAAAACCCGTAAAAGTCAAACTGTAACTAAACCGAATTACATACGATTTCTATTTGGTTTCACTTTCTACAAAATGGAAAAAACGATACTAAACCAAAAAACCGTACCCCACCCCTAATATTTTCTCATCAAACAAAATAAAATAAAATAAAAAATATTTATATGTCATTGTATTACGTAAAGAATTATTAAAATTGTACTATAAAACAAACAATAATCCAACTTTATATATATATATATATTTAAAAATTAAAATTTCATCCGTGCTGGGTTATGATCTAGTACACTTTACTTCTGTTCTTTTCGGAATTGGAATCCAGCTATACACTTACGCAGTTTCGCTTATACACTTTTACGACAACAATATGAATATGAACGCATATTTCTCGACTTCTGCAGCTTAACCAACATTATAATTTCATTACCTAAATATTAATTATCAAGAACATCATCTCAGTTGATATTAACAACATAACATAAAAAAGTCAGAAGTTACAAAAATTAACTAAAAACGTCCGACCAAACAAAACACATCAAAATACGAATATATTATATAGCAGAAATTAATCTAAACTTAAATCTTCTTCTTCCTTAATATCCTGTCGGGAACTCGCATCTTCCATACTCTGCATATTCACATTAAATTAAACTAATCAGCTTCTTAAGATTAGATTCATAAAACAAACTTATTATGCAAAATATTAAACACAAGAAAATATCATAGGATTCTCTTTTAACACCAAGATGACGTATACCCACGTCACATTAAACACTAGTGATCTATGTTCACGTGGGAACATTTGACCTCTGTCGTCCACAAATAATCTAACCACATCTACACTACCATAAAACTACGCTACCCTAATCAGCGTAGGTTAGCATGAAACCCCACACCTACTCTTAACATGCGCCACAAAAAAAAAGATGAAATAAAAATACTCACTCGGTGGTTGGCTAACGACGTAAGCGGCGCCGCCGAAGTAACAACTCCCACCGGCACGACCCTTCTTCTGATAATAACTATTGAAAGCAAACGAAGCGTGAGCCTCAAGTGTATCAGGACTGTAACAGTTAGCACCAGGTTGAATCGAACTGCAATCAGCACCACCTTCACCACAAGCATAATCTAAACCACTTTGTAACTTTTCTTCACCAGCATCACCATTAGCTACACACCAAGAATGACCATTTAAACTCTTCGAGACGCCTCCGCTCATCGGAGGCTTCGTGGTGGTCTGATCTCCTCCGGTGACCGGAGTATGACCACCGTCACGGTAATGTTTAAGCCCTTCTGTTGTGAAAGGAATGTCGTAGACTTTCTTCTCATCAGGGAAGAAGAGTCCATAGTTTCTCTCAGACGTTGGACCTAACTTCTTGTTCTCGTTGAACAGAGCGAATAGATAAACGGTCAGATCTGCTTTAGGACGTAACGGTGTACCTCCACGTGTCAAGATCCGACGGATTAAGTTTCCGTTGTAAGAAGCTGCGTTTGCTAAAGTAGCTCCGACTTCATTCTCATCTCCTTTTGACGGCCAACCAGTTTCCGTCACAATGATTTCGATATCATCGTACTTTAAAGCCGACATTGCTGCGAAAACGGCGTCGATTTGAGCGTCAAAGAGATTAAAGTACCTTAAACCATTACCTGAATCAACCATTCCTGGATTCTCTCTAAGCAAAGCATAATCTAAAGGAATGACGTCAGAGTTTCCTTCATAAGCAAAGAAAGGATACACATTGATCATAAGTCTTGAACCAGTTTCACGTAAGAAGTCAAGCATTGGTTTGATAACAGAGTCAACGAGTTCTGGTCGGAAAGAACCGGAGGAAGAAGGGTAAGAGTTTTGAAGAGCGCTTAAAGCAAGAGGAGAGGAGATTTTAATGTCGGAGTGGAGATTGAAACTCATAAGAGCTTTGTGAATGTTTCTCATTGCAGGGATCAAGAAGCTTGTAGTGTTGTGTGTATCAACAAAGACTTCGTTACCAACAGCGATTGATTCTATCTGTGTTGAAGGATGATAAGCAGCTACATTACGTTTGACCCATGAGACGGCGAAGGAAGTTCTTTTGGCGGCGGAGAAGAGTAACTCGTTGGGGAGATCTACGGTGACTTTGATTCCAGATCCAGATAAAGCTTTGAGAACTGATGGGTCTGCGTCGAAGATTTTGACTCTGTTGATTCCTTGAGATTTAAGGAGTTGGACTACTTTGAATGCTGATGGTAGTTCGTCTGAGATTCGACCGTAGTTTACTCCGATGGAACCAGCATCTGTAAGAAAAGAAAAAAAGACAGAACATAAGAACAGAGTAATGAGAATGTGGTTTTGTAATGTAATGTAATGTTGTTGTTACCTGAGAGAGGAATTGGTGAGAGGAGGATGAGGAAGATGAGTGGTGTGAGGAGATCCATACTCAGCTTCTGGTGAGAAGAGAGTTGGAGAGAGAGATGAAGATTTTTAAGGAGACACAGAGAAGAGAGAGTGGTGTTGTGGAGAGTGGTGGTAAATGGTAAAGGAGACTGGGTCAATTAATAAGTGAATAAATGATTAGGTTCTTACAAAATGTTTATTATTTTGTATTGAGATTTATTTTCACATGTGACATGTCAAATAATTTGCATCATCTTCACCACTATCCCATATTTTCACATGTTATTGCAGTTTGTATATGCTTAGAGTTTACAGGTAATCATGAGGGGAATTGATGGGGGTGTTATGGATCTGAATCATTTTGTTTTTTTTTTTGTGTTTTTAGTTATTCGAACTAATTGATAGATAGATTGTTTGTATACTTGTTTTTGTTTAGAGAGAATGATATTGTTTATACGTAAAGTTAAATTCTGATTATTTTATACAGTTGGGTAGCTGTGTAGAGTTAGATAATAATAATAGTGTTATAGTCATGAAATTTCTTATAGATTCTTTAAGTTTTATTCATTTGTTCATAGATATGACTATGGTTGATGAAAAAGAAAAAAAAAATAGATATGACTATGGTCTATGAATAAGTTAAAAACTAAATAAGTAAAACAATAATAGAGGTAACATTGCACGCCGACCCCACCATGTTTGGTAAAATCTATATTTGCTGGCTTTTCTCTAACTGTAGAAAATACCAAAACCAAAGTTAAAAAAAAAAACATATAACTTTAATTTTTAATCGGTAAATTGCGAGTTGAAATAAAATAAAGTGAGACAATCACTTGAATTCATTTCAAAATTTAGTGTCAATTATCACATTTTATTTTTATTTTTATTTGAAAACATATATACAAGTAAAAGATAAAAATTAAAACTATGAAACAACATGTTTTTTAATTTTTTGTAGACTTTTTGGTTAAGAAGACAAAGTTACTTGTGTAAATGTCCAAAGATTCCTGACGAGCTAGCTACAACGTTTAACAAAAATGATATAGACTTTGAATTTGCTAAATTTTGAAGGGATCGATAAAGTGGGCAAAAAGAGTGGCACCCACATGAGAGAAAATGAGCCGTTTGCGGACCACGATGCCTCGTGCCTTGGACTCTCGTAGTCTCACTGTTCATGCAGGACCCATTAACCTCATTGTTCTTGTCTCCTTCCACACGTGTGTGCTCGTGTCTGAACTGTTAGTGTGAATGAAGCCTAATTAATAAATTTGTTGTTCACTATTTCTAGTTCTGGTTTAGTAGCTGGTATGAATTGCAACAAAAATGTTTGGTACGGTTTTTGAAAGTGAATTTCTACTTGGATCTCGTTTATATTGGTTGGGTATGACTTTTCATTTAGTTTTTGGCTTTTAAACATCAAAACGTTTTCCCTTTCAATTAAGAATTAATTGTCTTAAAAATTACTCTTTCCGTTCCTAATTAATCCAAGTTTCAAAACAAAATTATTTCAAAAAATAAAACTTGTAAGCTTTTAATAAATTTTTTATCTAATATTATTATGTAAGAAATACATTTACGAACTTCCCCTTAATATTTTACAATATTTACGATATAATGTCTTTGGTATAGAAATTTTCGAAGATGATATATCATGGTTTTCACGGCTTTTTAACCATGATATAAGTCTTATTTATATAGTATTTTGGTATTTTTAGAGTCTTTTAGTGTCTTTTCACGTTCATGTACGTTCGAAACTTATATCGAGATTATGAGCATTTTGGAGCAAACCGAGAAGTTGTGCTGGGTGTCGATCAACACTACTCATGGGTGTCGCTCGACAGTCGTGGGCAGAAGCTTTAGACGAGTTTTTGAAGTTTTGAAGAATTTCAAAATTACCCCAGAGTTTTTTCTATTTGCAGTTAAGTTCTTATTCATGTTACTAGTTATAAATAGATTTTTAGGATCATTGTTTAGACCTAAGCTTTATTCTATGTTTTATTTGGAGCTTGAACCCTTTGGGAGATAATTAGAGATAGCTTTTAGAGAAATAGATCTGAGAAGATTTCTAAACTCTTATTCTTTTTTATTGATTTGTTAATGCAATTCTAGTCAATCATGTTGTTTGTTTCAATCATCATGTCTCAGCTCTACTATTTTTGGCGATCTTCTTCCCATTCTTCAACCCGAAGCTTCTTGTGAGTAATTCGTCGTTGTTGATACTAAATGACTCAATTTTCGTGGTTTTTGTTTCGATTCATGGCTTGTATTGAACTTTGTGAACTTTTTCTTGCGAAACTGTCTCGTTTCATTTACATGGAGAAGCCTAACTCGATCTTTGTCCCATTTTGTTTTATCGGATTGTAGCTCAACTATTTATGGTGTTCTTCATACAATTCTTGTTCTCGGACTTCAATCCAGAGCTTTTGGTACGTAATTCGTCGCTACTGATTTTATCGCTCCGTTTTTGTTTCGATTCATGGCTTTGTATTAGAATTCGTGAAACTTTGCTTGCGATCTTTTTCCTGTTTCGTTTACATGGACTTATCTTAGTCGATCTCTGTCATGTTTTGTTTTCTCTTAGTTTTCTCCGATCATTTCTCAATTTTTCCAGTTTTTGTTTCCTATCACGGTTTTGTATCGGATTCTTCATAGTGATCTTTGTCATGTTTCGTTTATATGGATATATATAACTCGATCTCTAAATCTGATACTTCTTATTTGCTACGTAATTGTTTTGTATCTGCATAATCGGAAAGCATTTTTTTATTGTTTTGCTTGAGATTTTTGGATAGCTTTGACTAATCTCCATAATTATTGATCTCTACAATCAGAAAGCATTTGTGTGTTCTTTAGATAAATAATTATTCATACTGTAGCTAACGCTGCTTTTTTCGTTTTCAATTTCTGTTCATTGGTGTTATTCATGATTTAGAATCTGTCTGACATAACAAACGTTTTGAGCAAACGGTCACAATGTTAGATCCAAGAAATGAAGAGACTCTCCCGAATGACAATGTCAATATGGCCAAATCTAGCTTTGCTTGGCCAGGGCTGGCCCGGTATATCTAAATACCCTACTCTACTAAAAAAATCATGCTCTTTGTAAAAAAAAAATTTCCTAGCATCACAAATAAGATTACTATAAAAGTCATACTTAAACTGAAAAAAACAATGATTAATTTCATAAAAATTTTGTAAAGAAAGAAAAAAATTATATTCTTTAAATATAGCTCTATTTATACTTTTGCGAGTAACATCATTTATCAAACTCACGTAGTCGAGCTTTTCAACCATAGATGTCTCAATGGATAGCAAAACCAACCCATTTAATCTTTCTTGTGACATGGTAGACCGCATATAATTTTTGATCAGGTTCAACTTCGAAAAACTGCGTTAGCAACCGATATTGGAATAGTCAACAATATTCGATAAGCAATGCCTATATTTGGATAACAAACCTCTTTTTAAGAAATCAAGAACTTCAATAGGCTTATTGACTCAATGGAAAGAAAAATTTATGTAAACGTTTAGGGTTTTATTTTTATTTTTAAGCCAAACTTTTACTAAAAAAATTCATTAACAATACATTAATTAATATTTTATTAATTTGAAAAGCATAAAACCCACAAAATATAATGAAAAATCCAAAAAAAAATTGTTTTTCAGAAAAAGAGTATAATTCTTTTTTTTAAACATAAAAAAACCTAATTTTTTTGTTTAATATGCCCCCTTTAATTTGATGTCCTAAGCCATAACTTCACTTTTTTGTGTCATGCGCCGGGCCTGGCTTGGCCAATACCTGTTATCAGTCTTCAGATAATAAAAAGTCAACCTAAATCACCTAATGGCTATCTCCAACCTTGGATAGATTACGGTGTTGAAGTTAACTAGAGAACTATCGTGTTGGAAGATACCGTTGATAAACTAAAAGAAGCTGTGGCACATGCATATGATTCATCTGCTCTTGCTGCTAGTGTTGTTATTCATAGTGGATACATATGGAAATAGATAGACCAACAAAAGCATACTGGCCTCCAGGCGAAAACTGCAGAACTTTATGAACTTGCAGATTCTGAATTTATAAAATCTTCAAAAACTGAATAACTTTTCTTGGAGAAGAATTTTTTTTCTTTCTCTAATGTCTTTCAAATCATTCATTATAAATACAAAATTGAAAATAAATTTATCACATGATATGCAAGTGTGAGAAATATTTAATTTTTATATGTATTAATAATAATATATTCAAAAAATGCATTTGTTACCTACATAACCCTAGAAATGATATTCTGTATATCTTTGTTTTGTGGTTTTATCTACACCTATTTTGTTGACACTTAACGAAATTGTTCTATTTTATTGTTTACTCACATCATATGAACATGGAGAAAGTAAGTTTAGTTGTCAAGTAATCAACATTCACCAAACAAGATAAGTTAAAGAATTTAAGGCTTTCCGATTGCTTTTGTAAATACAACTTTAAAATTTTAGGCCCAAACTAAGGTATAAATAGGCCGATTTAAAATGAAATTAAAAGAAAGTTAATTCTGAATAAATAGTTATTTATGATTTCGTTTTCAGGCCTAAAGTTTCATTTTATCCCCAACATATATATTTCATTACTATAACTTAGTAAAACTGTTGTAAATCTTTATAATCACATAAAACATATGTAATTTTCAAGTTTTTAGAAACAAAATAAAAATATGATAATATGAATCATACAGCATATTTGTTTAAATCTACACTTAATTAGCGTCTAGAATAATTATACCATTGCAAATTTACGTTTGTAATAAATATCATGTACTAATATTGATCATAAGAATATTTAGATTAGCTTATCATGAAAGGTTAGAATATTCAGTAGTTACAATATAAGAAAATACAAATTCAACAAATATATTTTTAGATAATATGTAAATCATCAAATTTTATTTCCTTCTAAATAAACTATCAAATCGTGTAGAATCAGATTTCGAAATATTCAAAAGCTGAACAACTTTTTCTTGAGAACAAAAAAACCATTTGCTTATGTCTTTCAAAACAATCATAATAAATACAAATTTGGAAAAAATATATAACAA